TGGACAGTGTGTCGGGAAGGGCATAGTGATAGACAGCCCATTATTGCGTAGAATCGTATACTTATCAGATGGACGGATGAATGTGAGACAGATGGGTCCCTATGAGGGAGAAAATGGAGAAGCATGTTCCTGTTCTCACAAATACTTCGCGAGGATATAATAAATACAGCCTGACTGACACCCAGGTACACTTGGATGTGCATGCCTGCCTCTCGAAGCGGCATGGGGTGGCTTACTGAAAGCGACACGGCGTAGGGCGGGAAAAGAGGGCTCGGAAACAGCGAAGCGGGGGACTCGTTGAGACCGACACAAGACCTGAACCCAGTCTCAGGGTTTCCGAGTCCTTAAGAAGTTCGATCATGGCCCGATCAACATTAAAAGCATGTCCAAAATGTGTTAAGGCCACAGAACGCTCTTCATGCGTTCCTCAAGGCCAAATGAGGAAGGATTGCGAGGCCTGGCAGGGACCTTTTTCTGGACCTTTTTCTTCACCTCTACGTGTTCAAAACTTGCTCCACTCCACACAATCATACCAATCCACTTCAGCTATGTTTAGTTGGCAAAAAAACAATACTATGCACTTTCACGTCAACTTGTGTAGTTTTGGCGCTTTAAAAATAAAGAAAAATACAACCGCAACGAGCTGCCTGGCGAAGTATCTACCTCATGAAGGTAGCTAGCTTCAAAAGAGGCAAAGGCCTGAGTGGAGTTCCTTGTTGTTTACGTAATGTATAAATGTCAAGAGACAATCTAACAACAAAGCCAACTAAGCGAAGATATGTATCGTAATTGGAGCTCGAGTACGCGCACTGGTAATCGTATCGCTCTTGTATGTCAGGGGCTGGAGAAGGAGGAACTCGGAAAACAAATTTCAGCAAAAATGTCTGCATTCTATCAGTGTTTCTATCCATTCCTTCTTTCTACCGCGCGCTGTCTCCATCACACCCGCCTTGATCGCTTTCTCCACTGCCGCTACCTCCAGCACCAAGCTTGGCAGTGATCCATCCTGTTACCCCCGCTCTCAGTCCACCCTTAGCCTGCGTGGCAGCTTTTGCTTTCGCCGCCTCCTCGGGACTAAAATGCAGCATCGTCACGATGACTGAGAGCAAGGTCTGCCGCTCTGTGTCCGTGTGTGCTGTCAAAAAGCCGTAGATGGCATGCTTCAAATACTCGGCGTTTACCGGCCCCGCATGCAATTCCCTCTCGCGCGCCAAGCTATCTTCTGCCTTCTGTAAGGCCGCCTTAAGACCCCTTTCTTGCTCTTGCAACCGCGCCTGTTTTGCATTCAATTCGGTGATTTCTTCTTGCATGTGCGCGATGAGTTGGAGGTCCCTGACCCGCTCTTTCTGGAAGTCGCCCGTCAGCTGCTTGATCACCACGTAGTGCTCGCCCAGTCCCACAGCATCGCCTTCTCCGACCCCGCTGCTACTTTCTGCGTCCGACGGCGACAGGGGTGGGGGCGGTATCTTCAGAGGGACCAGCGTACGCCCGCTTCTTAGATTGGAGCTGCCCTGCCCGAGCCCGTCCGTATCCCCGTCGATCGCCTGCCGGTGACCCCGGTCCTGCTCAGAGGCCGCGGGCAAGGACGTGAAAGCCCCCTTGTCCTGGTGGGAGAAGGATCCCGGCGCGGGTAGCTCCGAGGGGCTGCCGTCCCTGGGCCGTTCCGCCCCCTTAGTCGAGGCACCTGCGGTCACGGCGGCTTTTGCTGCATCCCTGGCGGCCAGGACGGCTGCCTGCGCCGCCTGTAACTGCCCCTCCAGCTCGGCAATCTTCTCCTCCAGGGCGTCTCCCTCCCGATCCTGCGCTTCCACTCGCTGGGTCCACTCCGCCACCGTTTCTCGCAAGCGCCTGTCTGCCTCTCCCGCTGCCTCCTCAAGCAAGCGGGACCCTCGTTCCGCCTCCTCTTTCACTGCCTTCTCGCACGCATGCTCTACCATCTCGAGTCGCGCCTGCATCGCCTCTCGTGTCTCCTCCAGATCGGCCCGCGCCTGCGTCAGCTCCTCCTCCAACGACATCACTGTCCGCTCCAATGCTGCCCGCTCCTCCGCCAGGCGAAGCTTCTCCTCTTCCAGGGCCCGGTCCCGCTGCCTCTCCTCCCCGCTTCGCTCCGTTGCTTTTTTCAGGGCGGCGTGGGCGCGGCCCCGGTACCTGTGAAACTCCTCCTCCACCGCCCGTCTCCCCGCCACCTCCTCCTCCATCGCCGACCGAAGCGAGCTCTCCCTCTGCGCCCAGCCCTCCTGAAGCACCACCGGCCAGTCATTGACCTCCAACACGCTCCCTGGCACCCTTGCCAGCGCCTCCCGGGTCCAGGCAAGGGCTTTCTCCTCCGCCACCCACTGGGACGCGGGTGGAGGGGCGGGATCCGACACTGAGGGGTCCCCAGGGGAGGACGGGGAGAGGCCACAGAGGTCCTGTGAGGAGGCTGGCGCCGGCTGGATGGGCGGGGACGGTGGGGACACCACAAGGCACCAAACGGTTCCGGCCGGTCCACCGTCACTCGAATCCGTACGCACGCGCATGGCCACTTGGAAGGAGGCGGGGGGAGCGGCCAGCGCCTCCGCGGCCGCTTTACTTTTGCTGATCTCTTGGTCTCGGGACTGAATGATGCTCCGTGACTTGGACAACAACGTTTTAAGGCGCTTCACCGTCTCATCCTGCTCCTTCCGCTGGGCTTCCAAGGCCTCGACGCGCCCCTGGACCTCGGCCCGCGCCTCTTCCGCCCCGACAAGCTCTTGGCGCAGACTCATCACCTTGGCCTCTCCCTCCGACTGCAGACTTTCCATTTGCGCGCGAAGCGAATCGAGCTCCTTCTCCGCCCCTTCCAGCCGCTCCTGCAGCGTGGCTTTCTCCTCCTCCAGCGCGGCCTTGGTCACGTCCATCGCGGCCATGTCACCATCACCCGAGGACATGGCAGACCCTTCCGAAGCGCGGGCTTCCTCAAGGGCCGCAAGCTTTCCCTTAACATTTTCCAGCTCAGCCTGCAGCCCTTGCACGGCCTTTGTCGAGGCCTGCGCTTCCTTTGTGAGCCTCTCAATTTCGCTGTCGCGCCCTTCCAACTGCTGCGCGAGGGCAGCGTTCCGAGCTGCCAGCGCCTCCTTTTCTTTCTTGAATTCGGACATCGCGTCTTCGTGCCTCGTTTGCCAATCCCCACGTGCCGTTTCCAGAGCCTTTACCCTCGAACGCAAGGCGGCGGCCTCCTCCGAGGCTTCCCACGACCCCCCGGCCGCTTCCTCCTCCCGAGCTCGCGCCTTCTCCCGTAACGACACCAGTTCCGCCGTCAACTCGGCTTGCTCACTCCGCATACGCTCTGTCTCCACCCGCAAATCGGCAAGCATCTGCGCCTGGGATTCGGACTCGTTCCGTGCCTCCTCTGAAGCCGCGCTCAGGGTGGCGATCTCGGCTGCAAGACGCTCCTTCTCTTGCCCGAAGTCCTCTTTTATCGAGGCAAGGCAACCAGCCGCCTGCTTTTCTGACTCGGCTGTGGCGGCTTGAAGGGCCTCCAGCTGTTGGAGGACGCACGCTTTCTCCTCCACGACCGACTTGGCTTTGGCCTGCAATGTTTTGTACCGGTCCACCATCAGCTTCAGCTTCAGCTGCATCTCTTCCTTTTCCTCCTGCAGTCGCGCCACTTGCTCCTTGTCATCGCTTTCAGAATTTGGGGTGGCTGAGGGCAATGGCCCTGGCGCGCGTGTATCATGCGCGGCCTCCAAAAATGCGATCCGCTCCTGCGCTCGACGAAGCTCCCCCTCCGCCCTCTTCGCCCGCTCTGCCTGCTCGATCTGTCCGTCCTGAGTGCGCCTGGCCGCCTCGATTTCGTGCTCTAAGTCTGCGACGCGCGCTTGCAGGACCTTCTCCCGTCCTTCCGCCTCTGTGTGGACCCGATGCATATCCTCAGCAGCTTGGATGAGACGATCGTCCGCGGACCGATCCTTCTCCCCCAGGACCGCGGCGCGCTCCTCCAGTTCCAGATGGCCAGATTGTAACGCGGCATGCTGGGCCTTGCTTTCTTGCAATTCGTTTTCCACCTCCTTGACCTTTTGTTTCAGCTTCTTGATGTAGCCAAGCAGCTGCTCTTTTGTCAACTCCTTGGCCCCCCCACCTTTGGCATGGGCCTCCCTGCCGCTGCTCCCTTGCCCAGCCGCGGTCGCCCCAGGGTCATCCATGTCGCACCTTAAAGTGACAATAAAGTCTTGTGCTCGCGATTTTCTCAAAAGAGATCTATGCTTGGCCCATCCAAGGACATTTCTGGGTCCAAAAGTTAGGTGGTTGTACTCTGAGTAGTGAAGTGGGAGAGCGAGGCGGTGAATCGCTTGTCTCCTCCTCAACTTGCTAAAACATGGCCTGCGTGTGACCACAAAAACGACGAGTATACGCGAAGACAATGATAAGGCACAGTGATATCGTGACTGCGCAGCAAAGTCCGTGCCGACGCAGCCTAGGTAAGGGATCAGCACGCAGGGGCTATCGCTGCGAGGCTGGCGGTTGAAGCCAACTTGCGAGCTCTGAAGTATCTTCCCACCCCTCCCGCGACGGCACGCCCTTTCTGATCCCAGTCTGCAATCTCTCGCGTCACAGATTCGCTAAGCATACATTGTCGAGTGCTGAGCTGATGGGAAGCGTGCAGCGCTTGACTGCCCTCATTTTGGGTCCGCCGGGCGGGGGAAAAGGAACAATCTCCAAAAAACTCTTGAAAGACTTCAATTTCTTGCATCTGTCTACCGGAGACGTGTTGCGGAGGCATGTACGGGATCAAACAGCTGTTGGTAAAGCTGCACAAACTTACATGATAAGAGGTACGTACGCAATGTTGTGAAGGCGAGCGGGCATGATCACAGTCGGAATAAGAGATGGAAACCGGGGCGGGAGTTTCTCAGTTTCTGCATGTTGTCGAAGGTGTCGGGGGATAAAGATGCCATGAGGTGCATGTAGGCAAGAGGAGTCATGGAGATCCATTTTTTTCGCACTGTACAACTGATTGGACTCCTTTGATTTGACTTGCAAGGCGCGCTGGTCCCAGATAATGTCATCGTCGACCTGGTAGTTGCAGAGCTCGCGTCCAAAGGTCACGTGCCTCGCCTCCTCCTCGACGGTTTCCCACGCACTATTCCTCAAGCCCTGGCTCTCGAACCTCATGTTAGCATAGATGTAGTCATTGACCTTGACATACCGGACCAGACGATCATAGAACGCATATCGAATCGGTGGATTCACGCCGCGTCTGGTCGCACATATGCCTACGACTATAACCCTCCAAAGCAGAAAGGCGTCGATGACGTGACAGGCGAGCCCCTTGTTCAGAGGGAAGACGACAAGGAAGAGACGGTTAAGGCTCGTCTGGAACAGTACAAGCAAATAACAACGCCGTTGGTTGATCATTATCGCTACCAGGGCACCCTGGCGACGTTCTCAGGGACCGAGTCGGACGTGATTTACCCCTACGTCAAGGCGCATTTGGATGCATTTTTGGCTGGACGTAGCCAGGAATGAGGTCGAAGTGGGTGGCAGACAATAGTGCGCTTATAGCGTAAAGGTGCTTGCGGCTACTAGTTCGAAAAAGGGGAGACGGGCAAAGTAAGTTTTTTTATTGGGCGATCCTGTGAAGACAAATTTGGCTACAGGGAAAAAGGGATTACTTTCTGTTGCTATCTTTTTCCGTTCCTCCGCGTGGAGACAGGTCGGTAGCTTGCCTCACCCAATGACTCGTGCCAGTCGCGAAGTAAAAAAAATAGGGAGTAAAGCAGGTTTAGGAGGCGACATGTTCTGACAATTCGATCCTGACGGCTTGTCGTCCAAAAGATAGCCAAAGGATTCGCGCATTTGAGTCTCTGATACCCTGTGCACCTTTCTTGCCTTCGCTTTTTTGGGCGCGCACCCTGAAGCCCCACGAAAAAGGAAGACATATAGGTGTGGACCGTGAAGATGAGCCTTTCATTTCAATAATTCTTTCTTTCGAAGACTTGGTCGCGCCAATTTTTGCCTGTGGAACTCATCATCCATGAACCGCAGACGATAGCTGTGTTCCCTATCTACACACCCGGAGGGTGGGACTGTACACTACCTTATCTACCCACGACATATTCAGACAACATACATCAGTCTTAGCTGGAAGCTGCCAGCGGCGATCCGCCAAAGAGACGAGTCCAAAGAACCAACATGCACGTCTGATGCTCCCCGCCCATTTATGACACAGAAGGCTTCTCTGGGTCACGCCCCTACCGTGTCTTCTAGAAGCTCTGCACGTTCCTTTACCCGACAAGCCGTCCCCGGTCAACGCGCTTCGCTTCGTGCAATTTATTTCAATTCCTGTCTTTCATACCACTCCGCCTTGTCACCTGCCCACGCCCACAATCCTCACGGCACCCTTCCTCTCCCTCGTCGCCATGCCCCCGTTAGAGCCCCCTGAACACCCGACTGGGATTCCCTCTGGCACTCTGCGCTCGCCGTCCATCGCCCGGGGCTTCTTGTCTTGCATGGAGAATTTCAAGGACAGATTACTCGTCGTACTCAAGTCTCCCGCCGCCGAGTTGTGCAGCGTCTGCGGGAAGTAAGAGACCAGCACCGGTTTCTGAGGCCCGTTGCCCCTTTGCTTGGCGTGACCTGCCTGACTGCCGCCGCCCACGGTGATGGCCGGGCGAAGAGGGGAGGGCTTGACGGTGGGGGGGGTCCGAGAAAGCGTGGCAGCCCCGGAGGTGGGCAGGCGGTCCAGGTTGGCAGAGGAGCGGACGTGGCGAATGTTCCCGTCCGCGTTGAGCACAAGGGCGGCAGCCATGGAGGACGACGGCGAGGACGTGGTGGAGGAAGGGGACGACCCGTAGGTGGGAGTAGTGGACGGTGAGGAGAGGGCCTGGAACCTGCTCTCCTTCCCCGAAGGAGGAAGTTGCCTGGACTGCCGGACGGGAGCCCCGGGCGGCAGAGCAACGAGAGAGGGACTCGTCTTGTCAATGAGTGGCCCCGGAGTGCGCGCGGGGTCCCTGCCCCTGCCACTGATGGTGCTGGCCTGAGTGCTCGACGTCTTGCTAACATATCCGCTACTTTCTTGCGGGTTCTCGAAAGAGGCACCCTGGCCTCCTCTACCACCCAGGACATTCCTGCTGGATGCTGCCGCCTTGGTCGGAAGGGGAGGAATAGTGGCCTTGGCCTTTTCGGAATCCTTTTGTGCCTTCTCCCGCACGCCCTTCGGACCACGCGCGTCTGCCGCCGCTCCATAGAGGGTCCAGGGATGGCGGATCACCTGGTGGGCGCTAAACCTCTTGAGCGGATCGGTCAGGAGCATCCTCCTCAACAAGTCCTTCACACTGTCGCTCTTCCCCTTCCAGACCGCCTCGGGGAAGGATAGCTCGAATTTTCGAGCCACCTGCGCTCTGTTGCTTGGCAAAACCTCCACGTCTGCGTTGAAGGGCAGCCGGCAAGAGAGCAACAGGTACAAAAGCACCCCTGCGGCCCATATATCCACACTCTCAGAGTACATGCGCTGCTGCCGAATTTCCGGGGCCAGGTAGCCTCCTGTGCCCAGAAAGGATCCCGTCAGCGTGTGTCTGAGTATCGTGGAGAAGCCGAAGTCGATCAGTTTCACGGTCGGGTACTCGGCCGCGGGGTCGACCAGGAGGAGATTCTCCGCCTTCAGGTCCCGATGAACCACGCCCCTGTCGTGCATGTAGGTGATGGCGCCCATCACCTGCCGAAAGACGTGCAGCGCCACATCCTCTGCGAGCGGCCCTCTGTCTAGCAGGAATTCGAAGAGCTCCCCGCCCTGGATGAGCTCCATGACCACGAAAATTTTGTCCGCCGTCTCGATCACGTCCTCGAAGCGGACAATGTTCGGGTGCTGCAAATGCTGGAGGATCTCGATCTCTTTCCGGAGCTGCTCGAGAAGCATGTCCTTGTTGTCGATTTCAATGTTGAGCTTCCGTTTGTCGATGACCTTGCAGGCGAACACGGTCTGTCGGGCCCGGCGTTTGCACCTATACACCTTGCTCGTGGTGCCAATGCCTATTATGTCTGCGAGGGTATTCCAGGCATCCCGATGAGAGTCGTGGACGAGTCAAGACCCGCGTATGTAAGCCATAGGACAGAACAGGCTTGAGGGCGCCCCCTCTGGCAGGTGTCCGATTCAGGCAGCCCGCTTATCGTAGCCGTGAAGGTCTCTGCCTCCACGCTTCAAAGCTTGTACCTCTCTCTCTCCCCCACCTCCCCTCTCCCTGCAATTAATCTTCCCGGTAAAATAATACCCACCCACGCCCAACCCTCTTGATTTGATGTCTCACCTTGCATGTCATAAAATTTGGCCAGCTCAGCCGGGATCTCTTCGCGTCGAAAGTCCTGCAGAATACCCTCGCTGTATGAGGCGTCTTTCGCTCGGAGCACCTTTGTATGGGCTGGACGGGTCTTAGAAGACGTGGTTGAAGTCGCAGAGTTGCCACTGCCGGCCCCGGAGGGCCCATCGCCGTTGCGGTGTTGCTTGTGGCGACCTCGGGATACGGCTAGTTCGAGCTGTAAATGGTGAGGAAACGACCAGGACAAGGCATGAACTTCTAGACTGTTGCGGCAATGCACGTGCACATCACTTTCCAATGCGAAAGTGTCAGCAAAGTCACTTCTTCCCCCCAGCCCACGAAAGCGTGGGGCAACAAAACGCACTCGGGAACTGTATCGCAGACAGCGTCTGCTGGAAGACACAATATAGATTCAAGCCCCAGCATTCGCCGTAACTGAGGCAAATTATACTGTGTGAATCAGTGTCGATCGGACTCCGTTCATTCCTTGCAGGCATCACGTGCCGAGTGATTCTAAAGACATTCCCCTTGTCTCCCCGCCGCCTCGAGACTGCCACCTACCTTGTCATTTTCCATCAGACCTACGGCCTCCTCGTCTTCTTTTTCCAAAAGAAGGCGACGTAGACAGTCGCGAAGCCGTCGCAGGCAGCCACCCCACTGAGACATATTCACGCCTGGGAATCAGATTTCCTTCACGCTTCGACCGAGTTGGGCAGGCTCGTGGCCCCACTAGCGCGCTTTTATTGGACCGCCACCGACTTTATGGGATGAACGTAAGCACAAACATTAGAGTCGTAAGGTACATTACACTATTCTAGCGTGAGAATGGCGGCTGGAAAGATTGAGGAGTGTGCGGAGTGCGCGGTGGGAGCAGACAAGGGCCCAATCACCGCCCCCCGAGCGCGCATGACGGGCGGACTTCAAGGTGGGCATTTATCTCACACGCAAACAACACAGAAGTTGGTCCATGCACGCCTGGTGACGGGCATCATGATGCATGCATGCTTGTCAACACTTCGGGCTTGCGAAGTGCCAAGACAAGTCGCCAAGGGGAACACGCCTTTTAAGTGTTGCCGTCACGAGTGAGAGGCTCGAGAAGAGGGCGTGACCCGCCGTAAGTGCAAAACCGATTATATGTCCTTAGACACCCAAACACCACCACGCCCTATGAAAAATCATGCACACACATCACACTCACCCCGACCTGCACCAAATTGCCGCCGGTGGAAGCACGCCGAGTGAACGAGTCAGCAGGCGAGACGTGCCTTGTGTGCGCCGCTTTTGGGGCTTTTTTTGTTCTGGAGTGGAGCCGAGTGGAGGGCGTGAAGCACGGCAAGGGAGGGAGCATGCCGGGCCGCCACGGGCTGCTTTACGATCGAGAAGCAGAGGTCAAGCAGGGTCTCGGCACCTGCGCGTGTTACAGGCGTGTGATATGTACGTGTTTGGTCGGTTGTTGGCCTCGTCCTAAGAAATTTGTCAGTGAGGGGCGTCTTGGTTACCGCTCCGACAGTCTAGAAGCCGAATTATGTTCCTTGACCTGGCTTCACCGCGCCTGTCAGGGGCAAATTACGCGGGGCATGAGGTACCTCTTAGCGTAAAAAGAGGCGGGCATGTTTGAAATTGCGAAATTAAGGCCTCCTGGGGTAGACTCAGTCAAAGTGGATTCTGTACCATCTTCTCACCTAACTGCTTGTCGTCTTCCATCGTTGTATCTCCCCTACATTTCTACTGTTTTTTACGCTTCTCACAGGACCAATGAGTGCCAAGGGGACCACAGCATCTGCCTTAGGACCGGATGCTTGGAAAGATTTGCTTAACTGGTATGTTTATGTGATTGGCGGTTCAATCCAGAAGCTAAACTGGCCATTTAGGGGGGGGCATTCAAGAGCTTACCCCCCATTCACGGGCTTGTACCGTGAGGCAACTCTTTCCAGCTGAATTGGCACCGATGTGGTAGCCTTTATCATGAGATATATTCGTCTGTCTTGAGAATCCAAGCTGGGTGGAACGCTTGGGTCCTTGTACCCTGCGGCGCTGCATACTCCTTGAGCTCAAGAGACTAGAACGTTGAGAAGCGCCAGTCCACGGGCACGATTTGGCGCCTTTGAAGCATGCAGGACGGCCAAGGGCCTTGGCTGGAAACAATAGACTGTTGTACTGGCCGTTTTTGATGGTCATCGGCCAGCGCCTCGAGGTCTTCTCACGTCGTGTCGCGCCCCCCCTCACAGGACACTGAAGCAGCAAGGCCCCACTGCTGAGAGCGCCGGCGGGGCGGCTCCAGGGCCCATATCGCATGACAAGAAAGAATGGCTAGAGCGTGTCATGGAAGGGACGTTCGTGGACATGAGCAAGCGGCTGCGAGAGCGGTTGGGCTTGCTGGAGGAGCTTCTGCAGGGGGAGAGGAGTGAGCCGCGCCCTAGACCAGAGGCAAACGTGCAGGCCGCCTCGGACCAAGAGCCGAGCGCGGTGGAGCGAGGACAAGCGCTCTGGGAGGAAATGGAGGAAGACGTGGAAAATCTGGATTACGCGCTCATGTTTTGCCAGGTGGGGGGCCTTCAAGTGCTCTTCCAGTACCTGCTCCGGGCGGCGGCGGGGGAGCAGGACGCCGAGGCCCGGACATGGGCCGTGCGCGTGCTGACGGTCTTGGCGACGCTGACCCAGAACAATCCCCCCGTGCAGGCGGAGGTGCTGGCCTTCGCGATGCAGGACGCCCGGGGGGGGGGGCGAGACGTGCTGGCGCTCCTGTCTCGTCTCTTTCTCCGCGAGGTCGGCCTGGAAGAGGCGAGCTCTGTGTCCGAGGGGTCTGGGGAGAGGCATGGGCGTCTCCAGGCGAAGCTTCTGCACGCCTTATCCTGCACTGTCCGGGGCCACGCCGATGCCGAAGCCCGTTTTGTGCAGTCCTACGCACCGGAGGTCTTCCGAGCCGGCCTCCAGCCCTCCCGACAGGAGCGCGTTCAGGTCAAGGCGCTCTTCTTCCTGCAAGCCCTTCTCGGCGCCGACGACGCCACGCCTGCACGAGGAGAGGCCTTGCTGCCCCTGCTCCCCTTGGTGGTTCCGTGCTTGGAAAACAACGAGAACGTGGACCTGAGACACACGGCCGCCTGTGTGGTGACGGGGTTGGCGAACCTGACAGGGGGGCCCGCGGTGATTTTCGGCAAAGATGGGGGGGAAGCATTGCGGAGGGCGATGGAGAGACGTCAAGGATTGCTTGGATCGGGGTCGGACGAGGCGATGGGAGAGGAGTTGCTGTTTTGGAGCGCTTTGGCGAGAGGGGGCACTGGAAGAATGTCGTGGAGGGACGGGGAGGGAATAGGTGAGGAAGGTGAGGGAGTGGAGGGGGCGGGAGGAGGAGGAGGGCGTGTTCTGCAATCTCTGCAATCAGGAGCATCGGAAAGCGCGACGGCCGACCAGACAAATGAGGCGCCGGCGCCTGTTTTGCTCCTGGGCCAACCGCAATACCTGAGCGGAGCGAGCAGTGCGCCGTAGGCAGGAAGCAAATAAAAAATACGTGCTGCTTTAAAATTTGAACCTGTGCAACGCTCGCGTCGGCCTTAGTATTTTCCTTATTACTCGACGAGACGCGACCACGGGCCCTGTACTTAATCTGCATACTTTGCACATATCTCTGCCTGCATGTGTACACCCCCCTTCCACTCATACCCCCATGATCCAATTTAACGTGACGTCATTCCCTCCATTCACCACTTTCCCAGCGTCATCGACCCTTCTCGCATGCTTTTCCCTTCACAAAGCACCACCAATGCAGAATTCTCAGGACCTTTGCTCCCATTCCCTGGCCCTCCCCTCTCCTTCGAAGCCACATCCCGTCCTTTCAAGGCCTCAACAACAACGCTCTCCTTTCTTAAAGGCGGTCGTACAAGTACTCCGAAAAGAGGAAAAAGGCCTCGCGGGGCTTAAAGCTGGGCACGGCGTGGCCCGCCCCCTCCAGTGTGGCGAAGACCAGGCCGTTCTTGTACTTGGTCATCATGCCCGCAGGGAGGGCTTCCCTGCCCCCTTCTCTCCCGCCCGCTGCCGCCCCTCTTACAAACCAAGGAGCCCACGCTCTCTCCGCTCCCCACGCCAAGGACTCTAGCCAGAGCTCCGTGCCCCTACTGCTGCACACCGTGTCGTCGTCTCCTGAGTACAGCAACACCCGCAGCCCCGTCCTCTCCCCTTCGCCCTTCTCGCCCCCAACAAGGCTCTTGAACGTCGGCTCAAGCAATGTGGACCAGTCGCTTCGCCGAAAATTGGCGAGTACCAGGAAAGAGCAGTCCTCCCAGGCCACGTCCTCTGAGGCATGGAGCGCTGCCTTCACATCCGCTCTGTTCAAATACCGGGCGCCATACACGGCTTGACAGCTGTCGTAAGCCAGGGGGGCGGCGGTGGGGAGACCGGGGCCCACGGCCGGCTCTTCGGCATTCTTCGCGGAAAGTGAGGGGGAGAGGGGCCGGAGACGGCGATCCTGGGGCGCGCCCGAGCCTCGCTCACGGGCGGGGCTCGGCGCGGCCCGCAGGGAGACCTTCTCGTCCGCAGGACCCGCTGGGGCTGCCTCGTCGACCGGGCCCCCACCGGCAGGCTCTCGCTCCCCCGCCCCCGCGGCGGCAGAAAGGGCTCCCTTGGCCCTGACGAGCTCCGTCCACAGCTTTGGATCACCCAGGCAGGAGCCCACAGTACCTTTACCCTCTCTCCGAGCCTGGGGCCCTCGCACAAATTCCTTGACGGCTTGACTTGCCCCAGCGGAGGCCACTGCGGCCGTCGCATTCCTGACCCTCTCCCCGAGCGCCAGGCCCTCCGCGTCCAAGACCAGGCGGCAGGGTGCGGTAGAGATGCTGTACAAATCCAAGGCCTCCACTGCCTCTAGGATCTCTCGCTGGAGCTGCATGCAGGACATGGACCCCAGGTGCACGACCGTGGGAGTGGCGGCGCATTCGTCGGCCCATCGGCGGGACAGGGCCGGGGGGAGGAGGCCGCGCGCCTCCAGGGTCTCCACCTGGCCGAGCAGCTGGAAGACGGGGTCCGTGGAGGGGTTCCCGACCAAGAAGCCCTGGAGGTTGAGGGGGGGGGAGGTTGGATCTGGCGCGGCGTTCTTGTCGAGGATAAAGCGGGCGAGCGAGGGAAGGTAGTGGCCCCCGTACGACTCCCCTGACAGGTACAACTCATGCGAGCGAAGGTGCGGGTAACGGCTCAGGAAGCTTTGTATGACGCGGAAGTTGTCCAGGGCCGACTGGTCGTCCCCAAAGGCCGCCTTGTCCACCTGCTCGCTCGAGTAGCTGAAGCCCACCGTCACGGGTTGCTCCACGTACAGCATGTTGGCCACACGGTTCCAGCTGTAAGGGTTACGCACCAGCGTCTGCCCGTCCTCTAACGGCCTAAACGGACCGTGCTCGGCCAGGAAGCCGAACAGACCGCTGCATCCGGGCCCTCCGTTCGTCCAGAATACCAGCGGGGCGCTCTCGGGGGTGTCGACGGCCTCCACGTACCAATAAAAAATGTTCTTGCTGCTTGTGATCGGGAGGTAGCCGGAAAACTGTCGAAAGTCTGTGTCATCTTTATATCCCGGCAATGGTGAAATAATTTCGTCCTGCAGGGCTTCTTTGGTATAAATTGTTTCAATCGGAAGAGGAGATGCTCGTGGAAGGGACTCGTCCTCATCAGGGCGAGGGGGGACTGAAGTAGCATTCATGCCTATTGGGAGCAAAACTTTCTCAATCGCCTTGGCACATTTTTCGCCTTTCGTCAAACCCGTCGGCATCGAAAGCAAATCAGTTGCAGGGGGAAGCGCCGCTTGAAGATCTTTGTCGAGGGGTCCAGCTGTGATAAGGTACACGTAGTAATGAAAGTATGCGAAACTCAAGAATATGTTGTGATCGACCAGCCAAACAAAATTGTGCCTTCATTGCTGCATCAAAACCATCCATCTCATACCGCAGGAACCTACCTGTGCGCAAATGGGTGTTTCCCCAGGCGGAACAAAATAGTAGAAAGCGCAATCCCAACAGAATCATGCTGGAGTCTTTTCTTTGCGTTCCCCAGCAGCACCTCCTGCGCCCAGGGAGTCGCCATCCCATCTCCCGGCTATCTGCAATGTGCATGGCATGTTAGGTCGTCGTTGATGCTTCTTTTAAATTGGATGTAGGAACAAGAAGCCATCCGAGGTTTTCAAAGTTGAGGGCATTTTCCATCACATCGTCTCTGCGTCATCCGACTCGTGTTCTCGCCTCGAGGCCTGTGGCAAGATACTCAGCACGTCTTGAAAAGCCTTTTCTTGCCTGTCTACCCACAACATTGCCTTTCATGGTCATTCAGCCCTTTGTATTTCTCTCTATCGCTAGAGCAGACGAGGCCGAATATTTAAGCGGACAGAGTCCCATCGAATTCTGTTCCTCGGATAGGGCACTTCAAGCGCTGCGTCATTTAGCAGCCATGCCTCTCCTTCATGACAGTAGGACGCGGCCACCGATCTGCTTAAAATTTGGATTGATTATGTGTTTTACTGCAATTAAGTGGCTGGGTTCGGCTTCAGGCTTCGTCGCCCCTATAAATCCTGATTCGCATCGAGCTCGAACAAGTTGGACCGCTGCGACACGTTTGACACCACTCCCATCTGCTGCTTCTTCCACACTAAGAATATCCCTATTAAAATGCGCATCAGCGACCATCGATAAAGCAACAGCCGTATCCGTGGACAACGAAGAATCTAAAGAAGGCCCCCTTGATCTTTTCGCTTCTCAATTTGAGCAATACTATAACCGGGCTCTTCAAGGGAAGCCCGCTCAACTAAAAAGTCTGTTTGCTACCGGAGCTACCTGGTCGGGCGTGCCGTTATCAGAAGGCAATGGTGATCTTCAAGGAGTGTTTGACGCGCTGGATCAAGGACGAGCCTTCATGATTGAGCCTTTCTTCGCGGTGACTGGGTGGGAGGCCACCGACCGAGGCATGAAGTTGGAGTGGCAGCTCTCGGGCACCTGGCCGTTCCCCTACCGGCCCCGGGTGCGGGCCGCAGGCACGTCGTTCATCACTCTCGACAAGGGTACGGGAAAGATGAAGCAAGTAGAGGAGCAGTGGCACAAGCCGTGGTGGCGGGTGGTGCTCGAACAAGCCTCGCCCAAAGGCTGGGACCTGTGGCACCTGTACTTGACCCCCCCGGCAGAGAAACCGCTGTATCGAGTGGTGAAAAAGCTGTCAGCCGTAGAGATCCGCGAATACTACCCGCGTTTGGTCATCGAGCTGGAGCAGCATGACGCCCGGCCCGACGTACAGTACACGGAGTGGGCCTGGATCTTGCCGGACTTCGCCTTCACGGATGAGCTGAAGCTGCAGGGGCGGGCACAATACCGAGAAACGTACGTGGCAACTTCACCCGTGGAGAGCTGCGTGGAGAGGGTGGACTGGTCTCCCCCATCGCCGCCGACAGGGGGCCAGCAGCCCGCCTCGAGCGTGGCGGCTCGTCGCATCCGGCACCACGTCCCCGTCCCATCCCATCTCGGCCTTGATCCGCTCTCCCCCCGCCTTCCGTCGCCATCGGCTAAGGACGTGGATACCGAGGCTGGGCAGGCGGGAAGGTACGTGCTGCAGCCCAGGAGATTCATGGCTGTGCGGGCATTTAAGGGGCTGACGCAAACACAGGAGTATGGGGCCTCGCGACGTTTGTTGTTGGAGTGGTGTGGCAAGGAGGGTTTGCGGACGGTCAAGAACGAGAAGGGGAAATCAAGGGTGTGGGTGCAGCAGCATGGCATGAAGGCAGGGTTCAATATGCAGGGTAACTTCTGTCTCGGCATCTACGAGCAGGCGTCGTACTCGGACTGGGGGGAGATCGCCGTGGAGGTGGAGAGGGATCCGAGTTGGGATAGTCAGGAAAAGGGTAATAGAGGGTAGGAGGGTTGTGTAGAAGTTCAGCTTTCCATAGCTCAAAAGCAGCCACAAACCATGTACGATAAGGACCGAAAAGGTTAGGAAAGTCAACATGATAGAAGGCATCCCGTGTCGGCCCCCTTAAAATAAATCACAAGGAGATTTAGACAGCCAGTACATCGAGTTGTCCCCACGATACACCTTGTTGATCAGTGAATCTATTGTCCCATGGCATGCTATTTAAGCTATGCATTTTATGAACTCAATCAACGTCCGGTCGAGCGTCAGCACAAGAGTCCTCCACCAGGCCTCTGCCAACACCCGACTGAAACCCAAGATACATTTATCAGGCCGTTTACATGCTTTCTTCCGCAGGTGTCCGGCATACCAGCTCGTCTACCGCGTGGATTGGGCCTGAAAGTTCTTCCCAAATGGCTTTGTAGACAATTTGCTGTCGCTG